GTGCGGTTGGCGCAGGATAGAGCAGGGTTTAGAGCTGTTGTGCATAGGGTCGCTATGAGTCGGAAACGACTCGATGGCACATAACAACAACATGATGGAACTTCGCTGCTAACCAATGGTGTGAATACCAGTCCTGGAGATAATCTGCTCTGGTGAAGAGTACAGAGCAGGAAACCATGTAGGACAGTTAGTGAGACTCACTCGAGGAGCCAACGTCAGTGCTTTAGATGAGGTAAAGGAGCTGGAAAGCCTTTTTCTATGGACGCTGCAGGATGCTCTCTTGAAAAACAAGTAGCGCTGTGACAGGCCTTTTATGTGCTACATACAGACATCAGTTACCTTTCTTACAATAACCTGGCCAACCATGAAGTTCTCACCAAAAGCAGGGCAGTGGATTCCAGCGTTCTCTTGAGATATTTGAGGAGTCAATTGAAAACTGAGAAAGGTAGAATTTTCTTCTCCCTTGAAGTGTTAGAGTCAAACCAGAAACGATATCTGAGACCAAGTACATAAAATGCATTTAGAATAGTGGTGTGGACATCTGTCCATGTTGGCCATTATCACCATTAAGTCAGGTGAGCGCAGTCATCTCCCCATTATTGTTCCAGTCTTCTATACACCGTTTGAACTCTACGGTACATAACAACCTAAAGAGAAAGCGTTTTCTGGGTGATTTACACACTCAAAATCTCCTGTCATGGGATCACATCCCACTCATTGCTGACCTTCCAAATCGGAGGCTGTAATCACAAGGGAGGAGCATGCTCCTCTTCCTCTCTTGGACCTAGAGGGTGGTTTCAAACAGCTGGAGCCAGCTTCGGGTTAGCAGTTCGGCTCCTGGGGACTAAACTACCAGAGTTCTGTCTTTTAGCAACCTAAAAAAGTGTGCAAGCAGAGCGCAGCGGAAGCGGTGGACTGAGGCGTCACGTGTGGCGGAGGGAGGCCGGATCCCGGGCCGAGGCCTCGCCGGGGCGGGGCCGCAGCCGACCCGGGCCAGTTCAGCCGGCTCCGCCGGGGGTTCGAGTGGAGGGCACTGCGCCGTGGAGGGCTCGGGAGGCTCGGGAAGCA